AAATGAGATAAATTTAAATTTGAAAATATTAATATTAATAAAATTATGATTTAGCAAGTTGTAAACATCCCGAAATTTATAATTTTGGGAGTGAGGATGACCAGGAACTTGTTGGATACGTTGTGGACAGTAGGTAGACTTTTTCATAATTATAATGTATATAAAACATATAAAAAAAAAAACCTTCAGTTTTTTTACTTTGGCCTTCTGCGTTTTACTTTCTTCATATCAAATATTGCATTATAGATTCAAATTTAAATATATATTCCACAGTCACCCTCTAATTGTAAATTTCTTTAAATTTTAATTAATTTGTTAACCTTTTTTCAATTTTGTGAATAGTGAGGGTGGCATGATTCCTTAATTCCACACAAGCTAACTTGCTTTTGGAGATCAGATTTGATTTGTAGGGGCTTATCCCACACTCACTATTCCCAATACCAGTTTTTTGTCACTTTGTCTGTTTCTTGTAATTTTTAATTCGTTCAAACAATTGTATATATACTATTTTAACTTTTGACTTAAAAGTCTAATTCAGATTTTATAAATTTTTTAAATTTTTTAAATCTTTTTAAATTGTAAGTTTACATCCACAATTTTTGTAGATGAGCACTGATGATGGCAAATAAGCCGAAAGCGCTTTGCATTAATAAAAAAGTTTTGCACGAAATACAAGTTTTTCCTTTTTGAATCTAAACTACGTGCACACAGCTGTCAACCTTTTTTGGTTTTTTTAAGTTATAAAATTAGCTACAAGCTTGTCTCCGCGCACAGAGAAAAAACCAAAGAAATTCATAATTCGTCATATTTTGATTCATGACTATATACACTCCAGAAGAAGTATTAGCTTGTAAGGTTGTATCACTCACGGAAGACATCGAGATTGGAACCGGACAGAGACATAATTAATAGAATGCTACTGTCATCATATCCCCTTATTACAAATACAAAAAAAAAGCGAAATAAACCCTTTTTCAGAAGCTGTACTGATTATGTTACTTTTTTAAGTTATAGTTTAGATGGTGTACAACGTGATATAAATCCAGATAGTGACTGATAATTCCGAATAAAAAACTAATTTCTGTACATTATTTGTATTTCAGTTAATCATTAAAAAAATGACGTAAAGCGTTCATTATTTTCACGTATTTTAGTAGTGTTATATAAATGATTAAAACTTGACGCCTTAATTAGATAACTAAATAAAATTTTATTTATAAACCACTTTTTATGCATTTTTATGTGAAATGTGACAACCTGGCAGTCTATTCAACAACTTACATTGTTTTTTCAATTAAATCTAAGCAAAAAAATTACTTTGAAAAATACAACTATTTTTGGCGTGCTAATTTCCGCTAATTGCCGTATGTGCGACGTCTGAAACACGTCTTTTTTGTGTCTTGGTTAGGTGTCAATGTCCTAGGACGTTATAAAGACGTCTTATAAGACGTCTTGCAAAAGCCATAATTCAGACGTATTAATGTGAGAGCTCAAAGACGTTCTTAAGACGTCTTAAAGACGTCTTACCAAATCCATATATTAATGTAAAAGCTCAAAGACGTCTTATAAACGTCTTTCAGTCGGACGGAAACTTGCACGGTTTACATAATTCAAATTTAACAAGAAGAATCAAATGAAGTGAAGTTTGACGTTTGATTTAACATTATATTCAAGCTGGACTTCCGATTCGGACACCATCGTGGCAATATTGAAATGGCGTTCTCCGAATCGGGAGCCAAGAAATCCCATAAAAATCACAAAATATCTAGTATAAAAGTGACCATCCGAATTTAAAAAGTATACAAAATTAAACAAAATATTCAGTGTAATATTTGGAGAAGATAATTGAAATCAAATATCAAGTGCAGTGGAAAAGTGAAAAGATTGAGCCCATATAAAACGAAGAAAAGAAGAAATACATTCAAGCCCAATCCAAAAATTTGTATGGCCCAAGCTCATTGTGGATTATTGGTTATTTTATTGCGTACACGATTATAGCCACCAAAAGCGACTTTGGGCTATTTTGAGCATTTGTGTCTCTGTCTACTTAAATAATATGGAACAACAACCAGAGAGGGAAGAATAGTTTGTGTTACCGATGCAGCACGTTCCTGGAATACAGGTAATAAATGAATATTTGTTTATATACATAGAACATTAATATCCTGTTTCATCTAAGAATAATTAAATTAATTTAAAAGTAAACATCTTAATATAAAATTAAATTCAGATATTCGTCAAGTATCATTTCTTTTGTTTTTATGGAGATTTTGAGAACTAATTATATCAAAAACTCCCTATTAGATAGCCATTTTGAGTGAAGTTAAAGTAAAATTGTTAAAGTAGGCGTAAGAAATTAAGTTTTTGTTTTGTTTTATAGATAACTGTTCTGTCGGTTTTTACTAACTTTTGCAAAGTGTAATTTTCTGTGACTAGATGCTCTTAACTAAATTTCTTTTTAGGAGCTATACAAAGGCAACTACAAATCAAAGCGAAAAATCAATCCAGTTATGGCTAAAGATGAGTGATCGAATGCGCTACAAAGAAAATAACTCTTAGTAACCTGTGATTAATAGATGTTTTATCAATAAATATTTTAATTCTATTTTTTGCATTATTTATAATCTGCAAGGTTGTTCTATTTTTTAATAACCAAGATATCCGACGTCCTACGTTCTTAAGACATCTTAAAGACGTCTTATTTATGGCTTCATAAGACCATTATAAGCTATTAATAAGTCGTCTTATTTATGGCTTATTTAAAGCTTCACAAGACCATTATAAGCCATTAATAAGACGTCTTAAAGACATCTTATTTATGGCTTATTTAAGGCTTTACAAGACCATTATAAGCTATTAATAAGTCGTCTTATTTATGACTTAGTTTAAGCTCCACAGACCAATATAAGCTATTAATAAGACGTCTTAAAGACATCTTATTTATGGCTTATTTAAGGCTTTACAAGACCATTATAAGCTATTAATAAGTCGTCTTATTTATGGCTTAGTTTAAGCTCCACAGACCAATATAAGCTATTAATAAGACGTCTTAAAGACGTTGCTTTTTGTAACATCAGACGTCTTCTAAGACGTCTTAAAGACGTTGCTTTTTGTAACATCAGACGTCTTCTAAGACGTCTTAAAGACGTCTTTCAGGAAATACCAGACGTCTTAAAGACGTCTCGAATGTCTTATGCTAGACGTCTTAAAGACGACTTTGTGCTATCTGGGAATAAGGGTTCAAAACGGCGGAGTTTTCTATCTCCTTTTAAAAGGCACTCAGAAAGCTGTGCAGTGCGACCATTCTCCGTATAGTAAAAGAAAATCAAAGCATGTGATATTTAATCTCAATAACTAAAAAGTATACTGACAATTAGTTTGACAGGATTGTCACTTATCTAAAACTTTAAAAATAATAGTAGTTGGGTGTCCAAAATATGAACTGTGATTGGTGAATTTCATTTTTTTGCAGTGTTCTCACTACCTAGAATGAATATAAAATATATTCGTTGAGTTAAACTTTTTCGTTCTGTGGTCTGTGCGTAGATAAGCTAATATCCATGTGAGTTTAGAAAAATATAATTAAAGTAGAATACACTGACCTTTGTTATTGTTGTAAATAAGTTGAGTTAATAGTGTACGACGAGCTTGACCTTGAGCTCACGTAGCTGCCTGCATCCATCATTTCCAGTATTTACGTAGACAGTTGGTGGCATATGAAAATCTTTTTTATTACTAATTTTAGGAAAAAAGTTATTCTTTATAAAAAGAGAGCATGGTCTAAAACTTAAAATACAAACATAAAATATCAAATTTTATCAGTCGTATAAAGAATAAATGTACTTTACACTTGAGTAAAACTCATATTTTTTAAAAAACCTCGTATACCACGAAAAAAAATTGATATTTGATGACTGTATTCTAGGTTTTAGATAATGCAAAACTTTTTATGACGAATAACTTTTTTTCCTAAAATTAATAATAAAAAAGTTTTCTCCATATGATTCCAACCTAGGGGGACATACTGTATAGTAATTCGATAATCCTCCAATTTAACGTAGGCACTTTTTTTTAACTTCGGTAGATTGTATATAAACTTGTAACTAACGTTAATTATTTGTCTGAGAAAATATCTTAATACATGTCATAAATGTAATTTTAAAAAATCGACTTTAAAACCGTGCAGATGACATTAAAAATTGAAGTTGCTGATTTTATTATAGATCCCTTTATCAAATCTTGACTAAACGCATATGGGGTAAGTAAACCCTTTCTAGCAAAAAAAAATCATAGAAATCAGACAATGTGGTAAAGAATTAAAGTTGAACCTACATAAATCAAAATATCGACGAATTTAGAACCTCCTCCTTTTTGGAGAGGGTTAACAAATTAATTATAATTGTCGTCCATGACAATAAATGATTAAATATTGATGTACCAATAACATCAGCTGATTGCTGTAAAAGTATTATTTGCAGGTCGTAATACATAATTATTAATAGTACTTAATACTTTATTCAACGTCGTCTTCCATACATCGGTTCGCTACTATGACAATTGATAATGCCGACTGTCAGTTCCTAGTTGACAGATCAGTCATCTGTTAACTTGGATTGACACTCGCTGGTGCCAACTTATATTAAAACACTAATCCTAGCAGTTCCCTAAGTAGGTTAAAATAAAATTGTCTATTTGTATTGTTGATCAGATTGTAATAAAATCATAAAAATGGAGTATTAATAAAAATAAAAAATCTTTTTTTTACATAAATTATTCTCTTATCTTTGTGAATAGATTATACCGTACGATATAATTCATATAAAGATAAGTAATCTTACATTTTAAATACAACAATATGTAATGCTTTGTTTGTTTACTGTTCATAAGCATATACCTGTTTATTTTACATTTTCCTTAACAGCAATATTTAAGTTATTATATTTTTTACAAATAATTTGTATTTTTTCATTGATTGTATAACATTTTGTTTATTTTATTAATTAAATTTTTTCCAGATTCAGCCAAATTCCGCCTTCCACTTGAGGTATCATGCTAGCAGCTAAAAATTTCAAGGGTTCTTTCGTTTTGTTATTCAAAGAAACCTTAAAGTTTTTCAGAATGCTTACCAAACCAACTTTGGATTGCATTATACCAAATCGCATTCCTAAAAAAAAAACAATATTTTGTTATTTACAAATACAATAATTTAAAACTAGAAATTACTCTCAAAAACCATTTTACATCTACAACTTTAATCATAAACTTATTCATTAGGAAAATAATATTAATATTTATGAATTTCTTTATGATAAAATGACATTGCCAACTCAAAGGACACTAGTAGAAGATGTGAGTGCAGATTCTATGAAAAGGAGGATCAAGCCCAGGACCAAATCTTGTTACAATCTTTAATCAATTTGTAGCTAATTCTGTATAATTTTGTATTTTCACTTTCCTATCTGTATACAGATATAAGGAAAGTATAGGTATCATGATTTTTTTCGACCTCGAGTTTTCGACGGATTTTTACGTTTTGAGGTCCCCAATCCGTTTTGACTATTTTCGCGATGATGTATGTGTGTGTGTGTGTGTGTGTGTGTGTGTGTGTGTGTGTGTGTGTGTGTGTGTGTGTGTGTGTGTGTGTGTGTGTGTGTGTGTGTCTGTGTGTGTGTGTGTGTGTGTGTGTGTGTGTGTGTGTGTGTGTGTGTGTGTGTGTGTGTGTGTGTGTGTGTGTGTGTGTGAGTGTGTGTGTGTGTGTGTGTGTGTGTGTGTGTGTGTGTGTGTGTGTGTGCGCGTGTGTGTGTGCGCGTGTGTGTGTGTGTGTGTGTGTGTGTGTGTGTGTGTGTGTGTGTGTGTGTGTGTGTGTGTGTGTGTGTGTGTGTGTGTGTGTGTGTGTGTGTGTGTCTGTGTGTGTGTGTGTGTGTGTGTGTGTCTGTGTGTGTGTGTGTCTGTGTGTGTGTGTCTGTGTGTGTCTGTGTGTGTGTGTGTCTGTGTGTGTGTGTGTGTGTCTGTGTGTGTGTGTGTGTGTCTGTGTGTGTGTCTGTGTGTCTCTCTGTGTGTGTGTGTGTGTGTGTGTGTGTGTCTGTGTGTCTCTCTGTGTGTGTGTGTGTGTGTGTGTGTGTGTGTGTGTCTGTGTGTGTGTGTGTGTGTGTGTGTGTGTGTGTGTGTGTCTGTGTGTGTGTGTGTGTCTCTGTGTGTGTGTGTGTGTCTGTGTGTGTGTGTCTGTGTGTGTGTGTTTGTGTGTGTGTGTGTCTGTGTGTGTGTGTGTGTCTGTGTGTGTGTGTGTGTCTGTGTGTGTGTGTGTCTGTGTGTGTGTGTGTGTGTGTGTGTGTGTGTCTGTGTGTGTGTGTCTGTGTGTGTGTGTCTGTGTGTGTGTGTGTCTGTGTGTGTGTGTGTGTGTGTGTGTGTGTGTGTGTGTGTGTATCTGTGTGTGTGTATCTGTGTGTGTGTCTGTGTGTGTGTGTGTGTGTGTGTGTGTGTGTGTGTGTGTGTGTGTGTGTGTGTGTGTGTGTGTGTGTGTGTGTGTGTGTGTGTGTGTGTGTGTGTGTGTGTGTGTGTGTGTGTGTGTGTGTGTGTGTGTGTGTGTGTGTGTGTGTGTGTGTGTGTGTGTGTGTGTGTGTGTGTGTGTGTGTGTGTGTGTGTGTGTGTGCGTGCGTGTGTGTGTGTGCGTGTGTGTGTGTGTGTGTGTGTGTGTGTGTGTGTGTGTGTGTGTGTGTGTGTGTGTGTGTGTGTCTGTGTGTGTGTGTCTGTGTGTGTGTGTCTGTGTGTGTGTGTCTGTGTGTGTGTGTCTGTGTGTGTGTGTCTGTGTGTGTGTGTCTGTGTGTGTGTGTCTGTGTGTGTGTGTCTGTGTGTGTGTGTGTCTGTGTGTGTGTGTCTGTGTGTGTGTGTCTGTGTGTGTGTGTCTGTGTGTGTGTGTCTGTGTGTGTGTGTCTGTGTGTGTGTGTCTGTGTGTGTGTCTGTGTGTGTGTCTGTGTGTGTGTCTGTAGGTCGCATAACTCATGAACCGATACACAGAAAAACACCAAATTTTAAACTTAAGCTTTATTCCAGCGTCTAATGAACTGATTAGATTTTGGGCAGAGTCGGAACATCTGGCGGGGTATTTTATAGGTGGTCATTTTTATATTTTATGAAATATATCTGTTATTTACGTTTGGAGAAGAAAATTCTTCAAATAAAAGTTACTTCTAATATAATTTTCTATATTTTTTGTACAAAATTTTCCTAAAATGGTCCGTATTCGAGAAATTTGACAAAATTAAAAAAAAATATTTTTTTATAAAAATGGTTTAAATAAAAGTTGTTTGTAATATAATTCTCTAAATTTTTATTCTTTACATAATTTCTCTAAAATGGACCGTATTCGAGATATTTGAGAAAATGTACACATTTTGAAGAAAACTCAAAAACGGATTAAGAAAAAAACATTAACTTTTAAACTTAAGGTTTATTTCGGCCTGAAGTGAAATTATTAGATTTTGGACAAAGTCGGAACATCTAGGGGGTACTTTATGGGAGGCCGTTTTTATATTTTATGGAATATATCTGTTATTTATGTTTAGAGAAGAAAATTGTTCAAATAAAAGTTACTTCTAATATTATTATCTATAATTTTTGTTTTATGTTAAAATTTCCCGAAATGGTCCGTATCCGAGAAATTTGACAAAATGTGCAAAATTCTTATTTTTATGAAAATTGTTGAACTAAAAGTTGTTTGCGATATCGATCTCTATAATTTTTGTTTATGCATGATTTTTCTAAAATGGACCGTAATGGAAAAGTGCTAAATTTAAATTTTTCTGTATTTTCGTTTTCAATGAATATCTATAGAAAAATGTTTCGAGGTAGATGTATGTGGACAATGTATATATTTAGTTTATCCTCTAAACATTTATAGAGATGCTGCAATAGGTTGTACAAAATAACCAGAAAAAGCCTATAAAAACTAGATAGGAATGTCATGTGTTGGACACATCAGATTTTTATTTATTTGTTATATACCTCTCTAGTATTATTTTTTCAGCAGTTAATTATGCAGCAATCAATAAAATGCAGTGAAGAACAACAAGAAAGAACTTTTTTGAAAAAGTTTATTCTTGATAACAAAATCCGTATGATTCAAAACTTAAAATGCAACTATCAGATATTTTTAAACCGTACACGTTTGTCAAAAAATATAAATATTACTCAAGAGTAAAGTACCTTTATTCTTTATACAACTGATAAAATTTGATGTTTGATGGTTGTAATTTAGGTTTTAGACCATGCTTGACTTTTTATAAGAAATAACTATTTTTCCAATATCAATAATAAAAAAGTTTTTCATATATCGCCAACTTACGTAGACAGTTGGTGGATAGGAAAAGCTTTTTTTCTACGACCGTGTATTTTTACCCACTTTCCCGCACGCAATTATGAATATTTGGCCTTACCTATTGTATAGTTTTTTTACCTCGGATGTTATAACTATTGTTAAAATAGGTAATTTAGTATTTTCCAACTAATCCATTTAATAAAATTTACTTTTTTTCTTGCTTTTTGTTATAATTTTAATTTTTTGGAAAACTTGAATAGAGATATTTTTATATACCTTCTGTATATGTTTAAAAGTCAGACTAGGCTGTGACATGTATGGCTTGATATGGTTGCTATATGGTAACCAAGTCGTGTTATTGTTACAAAAACGTCAAAGTTGTTTGTTGAAGCGTCAACTGAATTAAAATAAATTAAAGAAATAATGGATTATTCGGATGAAGAGCTGCCCGAAGCCATTTTAAAAGCTGCAAATGAAGCACATTTGGAGGTGTTACCTGCCAAATCACGAGGAAGATATGAAAAACAATACGACCATTTTGTCACATGGTGTAAACAGGAAGGGGTAAAAACCTACAAAGAAGAGGTGTTTCTGGCGTATTTTTCGCACCTAAGTAAGTTTTTGAAATCTAATACTATATGTTCTCGCTATTCGATGGTGAAAAGTTTAGTAAAAATAAAACAAAATTTGGATATAAGCCAGTTCCATAAGTTAACGTCATTTCTAAAACAAAAAAATGTTGGTTTTCGAGCACAGAAGGCGCAGGTTTTTACCAAAGAAGATATATCCAGGTTTATGTTAGCCCCTGATGAGGTATACCTTACGATTAAAGTGAGTACCATTTTTGCTTTAGCTGGTGCTCTCCGCAGAGCGGAGCTTGTAAATATCACTCTCGATGATATACAAGATAAAGGCAATCTGATAGTTGTGAAAATTTCCGATTCCAAAAATCATTCTTCAAGATCATTTGTTTTATGTGAAGAAATAAATAATGGAAACTTTCTGAAGCTGTACAGAAAGTACGCAGGTTTACGACCACCTACCACTCCGCATCGCCGCTTTTTTATTAATTATAAGAAGGGAAAATGCTCAATTCAGTGCGTTGGCGTAAACACCTTTGGTAAGATGCCAACAGAGATTGTTGCATATTTGCGTCTACCTAATCCTGAACGATATACAGGACACAGTTTTAGACGTTCTTCAGCAACATTCCTAGCAGACTCAGGTGAAGCGATAACCAATATAAAACGTCTCGGTGGCTGGAAGTCCACTACTATCGCTGAAGGCTATTTGGAGGACTCCGAAACACAGAAGAAAAACATTTCGAATAAAATTCTTTCAAATAGAAATGACTTGCAACCTTTGCTGCCACCGTCATTCTCACCTTCATGCGACCTGCAACCGATGTCACTCTCGTCCACGTCATCTTTTCAATCTACGAGCGTTACGACTATTAACAGCCAATTAACACCAACTAATTCCTCTGTACCGGCAATTTTACATAATTTACAAAATGCTACAAATTGTGTATTTAACATTAATATCCATAATAATTAGTTGTTTTTATTTAAAGATTTGTATATGTTGAAATAAAATAATTTTACAAAAATAATTTTTCCTACTTTTTTGTATATACGGTCGTAGAAAAAATAATGTTCCTAACTCATGCGTAAAGTGTCTTTCCCGCACTTGACCGCTTGCCCGCTTCGCGTCGTTCGGGCCAACTGCAGTCGCGTGTGGGAAAGTAACACTTTCCGCACTTGTTAGGAAAATAACTATTTATTACTAGTTTTAGATAATAAAGTTTTTTTCAGGAGTTTTTTCTATAAAAAATTATATTTCTTCCTTAG